CATAGCTGAAACACGGGCCACAACACTGACTCATTTGCAACCTAAACAGCAGTTGGGTAGTGAATTATACCTATTTTTGTTGTTATGCAACTTACTGTAAGTGAACTACTCGAGGGCGTGCGCATCGTAGACCGGCGCGGTCGCTCCACCGCTGTTTCTCCTAGCGAGCATAACGCATGTTTGCCCGACCTTCGGGAATACGCACATGCTCGACGTGGCTCAGAACACCGATGACAGAACTGGGTGCGCTAACAATGCGAAATCCAGAACATGCGAGAAGCGGACAGAAAAGCAAAGAAAGAGTAGCGCATCGAAAATTTCCCGCGTCTTACTTAAGATGGCCGCACAGCATGCGCACCGCGCTGTCGTCTGCCAGCTGCCCGAAAGAAATTGTTCGGGCGGTCCCGGGCCGCCCGCAGGCCGCAAAAAACAAAAATGCGTCCGAGTGATCCCGGACCAGTGGGCGGAGCTTCTAGTTGGTCCCCGAGAAAAACGAATGCGGCGCCGGCGTCCGGGACGTGTAAATCGATGACGCTCAATGCGCCCTGAAATGCCGGTGTCCCAGGCCAACGCCACTTCGACTCCTCTAAACTCGGCTTCACAGTATTCTTTAGCGAACAAAACACACGAAAATGAAGATTTGGTTGGTGACCTGGATACCCCAAGGATAGAATTAGAATTGGTGTCTGCAAAACGCTGTAGCGACTTGGATGACGGCGCTCAAGTAGACGAAACACAAGTGAAGTCGAAAGTGCAGTGGAAGGTGGTCAGTGAAGGCAAGAAACGAAACGATGCCCGACAACGGTCGTCGTCGCTCAAACGCGACGATGGCCGCTCAAACTAAAGGTGAACAACATGGTTCCACCCTGGACGACGAGAGCCCAATAAGTGAACGTGCAGGGCTCTCAGCCTGTACCCGCTCACCGATGACGTCGCTGAGCGGTGTCGAGAAAGCAGCGACGCTCGACGTACGAGGACTGGCTTCCAGAAAGCAACAGACTCAGCTCTACAGCCATAGACCAAGACCTGGACATTATTGCAGTTCAGGAAACCAAAGTGGAGAACGTGGACGCCACCGAGAGCCTACTGCAACGTTTCACCGGACGCTACACCGCCAGCGTCAGTCATGCAGTTGGTAGGTCGGCAGGGTGTGTGATCTTTGTGCGAGATAGTTTAGGTGCCACTGTTCGAAATGTCACGTCCGATCCATGTGGAAGGTTTGTTGTTAGTGATTTGGCCTTCTTTTCTCTTAATTGGCAAGTGATTTGTTTATATGTACCTCTTAAAGTTGATAAACAGTGTGCAACATTCGAAGAAATTTGTGCTTATTGTGAATGCAATTACATAGTCATCCTAATGGAAGATTTTAATTGTGTGATCAGTGCAGATAATAAAACAAGTACATCCGATTTCAACGACTCAAGCACGGTTGCATTAAGTAATCTAATTTTTGACTTAGACCTTGAGGATGTTGTAGAGTGTATTTGTAAAGGACCAACCCTGTATACGCATTTCCAAGGCTCCAGTCATGCGCGCCTAGATAGGGCCTAAATGTCACTGGAATTAGTTCCGATTGTCACTGAGTACAACTTCCTCCAGATTTCATTTAGTGATCACTGCTTAGTATCATTTGTAATAGGTAAAAGAAATAGACGTAGACCAGTATTTAACTGGGACACGTGGAAGCTAAATTCTAATCTCTTGGAGGATGAAATATTTATGGACAGTGTTCGAGAGGCGTTGGTAAACATGGCGTTGGTAGACAGTGGAGACCAGAACTATGGAGTGAAATGGGAACAATTTAAACAGAATATAAAATTGAAAGCTATAGAATGTTCATGTGTAATAGAACACAGAAAAAGTGAAGAATGAAGAACCCTACGCTTAAATCTGAAAGAACTGCTAGCAGAGGAAAGCAAAACTCCAGGCTTATTCATAAATGATATAAGGTCAGTAAAGTCCAAATTGGAACAAATTGATGGGGAGAAATATCGTGGCGCGCAAGTAAGGGCAAGGGCTGAGAAAATGACTGTAGGAGAGAAACTGACCAAAAGAATGCTCGGTCTTGAAAAAACGAAATGCTCAGCGAAATGCTATACATCAGATTGAATACATGGGTAACATTACAAGTGAACAGAAATATATAGAGGATGCTTTCAATGAGTACTACACCACTTTATTTGATAAATGTAAAGTAAATATGGATGAATTCAAGAATGAATTTTTAAAATTATTGCCAAAGGTTGAAGACTGCAGGAAAGACAGCTTAGAATGTCCTATTTCTGAACCGGAAGTGGCAAAAGCAATCATTGCCCTCCATTTGGGAAAGTCCCCAGGACCTGATGGCTTAACAGCCGCATTTTATAATGAATTCAAACACGAACTAGCACCGATCCTAGCAGCAGTTTTTAACGAAGCTTTAAACATAAAGATTCTGCCACCTTCTTTTCTCTCGCCCTGCCGCTGTGGTCTAGTGGCTAAGGTACTCGGCTACTGACCCGCAAATTGCGGGATCAAATCCCGGGTGCATTACCAATGGAGGCGGAAATGTTGTAGGCCCGTGTGCTCAGATTTGGGTGCACGTTAAAGAACCCCAGGTGGTCGAAATTTCCGGAGCCCTCCTTTACAGTGTCTCTCATAGTCATATGGTGGTTTTGGGACGTTAAACCCCACTTAACAATAAATCAATCAACCTTTTTTTCTGCTATCTCATACTATATTAATTCCAAAAACTGAAGACTCAGTTAAATTACGTGAAGTGAAATCGTACAGGCCAATCAATCTATCAAATATCAACTACAAGATTTTGATGAAAGTGTTAGCAAGGAGACTGCAGACAGTTATTAATAACATTGTAGGCAACCACCAAACATGCGGAAGTAAAGGGCGCACTATATTCACAAACATTTACAAGGCAGAAGTGTATTGGAGTGCTACAATGCCACAAACGATCACATCGCGATGATTCAGATAGATTTAAAAAAACATTTGACCCAGTACCTTACAAAATTCTTTTTCTTTTGTTAGACTATGTCAATGTTGGCAAAGTAATTCGAGATACAGTTCGAATGGCATATACTGGACGTAAAACTCGGCTAATCATCAACAAATTTCTTGGGAAACGAATTAATGTCAGACGTTCTGTACGACAAGGCTGTCCTTTCTTCCCTTCTATTTTCAATTCATATAGCCATTTTGCCAAAATGTAATGAAAAGCAGTAACATAGTAGGGTACGAACTACAAGAAGCTGAAGTATGGGTACTGGCATACGCAGATGATATAACTGTGTTTTGTAAAGATTATGATAGTATCGCTGAAACCATAAAAATTGTGAACATTTATTGTAATGCAAGTGATAGTTTGGTAAACTGGAGCAAGTGCGTGGATTACTGGAACGGCGAATGTTCTGTGACTCCACAACTTGTGGCTGGTATTTCATGGACTACTACTCCGGTACGATACCTAGGTGTGCCATTAAAATATATTTTGACAGTGAACCGTACTGGCGGCGTCAGGCCGTGAAGCTACGATCAAAAGGTGAACAACTCAATGGTTTCCAGCTATCAATTTTTGCCAGAGTGACCTTTTGTAACATATATTTAGTCAGTAAGCTCTGGTATTGCATTGTTCACGTGTGAATGTACAGAAGCTTCATCGAATATTTGCCGTTTTCTTGTGGGGTTCATCTTGGGAGCGAACAAGTAGAACTAACTTATTCAGATGGTTTCGCTCTGGTGGACTTGGTCTGTGTCATTTGTACCTTCATCAGTTAAGTTAATCGATTCATGTTTTTCCGAAATAATCGAGACCCATTCATACGTACTGTTATACAGCTTAGGCTTGGAAGACGGTTGCCAGAACTTGTGGTAGCATCTGGTTACATGGAAGCAGGCATTATAGGTTTCCTAAAGTTGCTGATTCATGTCTCTTTCTAAAAACGCACTTTTCATTGGAATACCTCAGTACGGTTTTCGCGTAAAAAGCTATACAAAAATCTAGTAGAAACAGTCCTTCCTGTTTCCCTATGTAGAACGTTATACAGTGTAGGCCAAAGCCTGAATGTCTTAAGCCGTGTAAAAAAAATGGAGGTATCACCTGGAGCGAAATTCTTCTTCTTTAAGTTGCACACTGGGACCTTGCCCGTGAAAACATGGATGCAAGAAAAAGGCTTATTCGTTCCTTGGAGTGTTGACTGCCTCTTCTGCAAAAAGCTGGAAACAATCGAACATGTTTTCCTGGACTGCTGGGATGCAGTCTTTTTCTGGGATGTTCTCCAAAGGACTTTGAAAAAGGATCTGCCTCTTGATACCTACGGCATTAAATTTCTACCAGTATCAAATGAAGAAGGAATACCTTTCGACCTAGTTATGTTACTGGGCCTGCACGGTATATGGCAATCTAGAATGGCGGTGCGCCATGCTGATGTCAATGCACGTCTGGTTCGGCAATACTTTTTTGAATCTGTCTGTTCATTCGTGGAATCACAAAAGGTTCAACAAGAAGTGCCCGAGTGGCTTCGTCAAGTAGAAATCCTTCTACAGATGAAGGAATTTAAGTCTGTTAAGTTTGACGCTTTTTACTTCTTTTATTTTGTTCATGTTTGTCCTTTGTTTGATGTACATTTGTTTGTGGATGTTGTATGTACACAGGCAATAAAGAAAAATAAAGACACGTGGCTGTGCAGTAAAATGCCTGCTAGCATGCAAACGGCCCGAGTTCGATCCTCCCTCGGACCGGGACATTTTTATTGTTGATTTTATTTGCATCTTTCTCGATTTTTCGGTTACGGTCACGATGACTTTTCGCTCACAACTACTGATGCCGAAATTATTATACACCGTCAGCACCACGGGTCAGCACGAAAAGCCACGATAATTAAGGCCGCCGGCGACATAGAGCTGGCGACACGCCTACAACCACGCGAACGGCGCGACCACCCCGTCACCTGTCGATCAGCGCACGAACCGCGAAGTCACGTGGCCTACGCCACCTACGCGACTAAAATGGCGAAAACGCCACCCGCGCCTGCTGCAAAGACTGCTACAGCTGAAGCAGACGAGATGAACGACTACTCAGCGCGCGAGACGTTGCTTGAGAACGCAATTGCCTCCACGGAAAAGATACTACAGCTACGCGAGAGCTTCAACGAGCTAATCGAGAACGGACTGCTGGAGCTGGCTCGCGTTCGCTACTCGACCGGCAACAAATCCGTGTCCGCTTTGCAGCTTAACATGGGCGAAGTGGAAGCGTTGCGGACGGTGCAAACAAAATTCGACGCCCCCGACCAACGTTACCCGAGCTTCGAACTGCTACATCCAGCCAGCACTGCTGGTACAACAAACAAGGAAGGCGAAGTTCGCCAACGCCGACAGGCAGAGGAGCCTTCGACCGAGGCAGCTCAGTCTCCTTCTCAGCGTCCTGCAAGCCCCAGCGATCCGCTGCGCTGGTTCGGCGTGCTCGTTCCTCAGTCGTTGCGGCGCTCGCAAAAGTACTTTGTAGGCGCGCTCGAGGTCGTCGTGGACGTGGCCAACGAGCAGACCCGCCTCGCAGCCGCCTTGGACGCCTACCGGGCCAGCCAGCCGGCAGGGCGCGAGGCTGAACCATGAGCATGCGAGGACGTCAAGAACGAAGGCTCGTTTGGCATTCGTGATTCGGTTGCAGTGCAGCCGTCTTGCAGCGAGAAAGCGTTGTTGCCATGCGCGTGGCAGCGAACGATAAGGACGAAGCTTTTCTTCGTTTTACGGACGCGGTTAACTTATTCTGGTTGGACCTTTTGTAAGGAGTGTTGGGTCTCCAATATGTGCATTAAAATAAAGGGGAAGTTGCAAAAAAAAAAAAGTTTGTTTTGCTTTAACTTTAAGGGGCGAAAGAAAAGGTAAATCTTGTTGAGGTAATGTATATTGCAATTTGAAAGATAAAACATTCCAGCCATATTTCTGGATGCTTTAGCTGAGAGAGCTGAAACATAAATCAGCATGTCAGAATAATCTAGAATCAGAATTGTATGCAAGAAAACAACAATGCATGTTCCAGGCCCATTTTGGCAAACATTGTGGTGCATCAAATATTTGCATGCGAGTGCACCCATGAATCTTCAACATCTCCAACTTTTTTTGTTGTTTAATGGGTTTGAATCATCCATTTTTATTTTCTCACACGCTGTTCTTATTCAATATTTTCATAACTGCATCACCCCTTCAGACTTCTTCAGAAAGAAGCAGACTTCTTTCTTTTCTGTCCCCAATAAAAAAAAAAAGTAACAAGAGGTTGCCATTTTAACAGTGTCCCTGCTATTAACAAAATGTTATTCAGATTCTGTGAAAGGTCACCACAACAGTCACTCGGAAAGCCTTTGCAAGTGTGGTGAAAGCTGTTTTGAAGAATTTGTTATGTGCCCATTAGATCAATGAATTATTTTCACAAGGTCCCAGTCTCATTACCTTATGGAGAGACCCTGCATACAGAGCTAGCTGTTCAGGAGTACCCAAAATCACGAAATGATCACAAAAGATGCCGTGGTGGAGGGCTTAGCAAATGTTCACGACCTTGTGTTCTTTTAACGTCACACAATACATGGGCCTCTAGTATTCAGTCTCGGTCAAAATGGAACCACAGCAGCCGGGATAAAACCCGTGACCTAGCAGCCAAGTGCAGTAACCATTGCTCCACCATGGTGGGCTCAGTTGGAGGCAAATATGTCAATCTGATATGCTGAAGTAGCATTCCAAAAAACATTGTGGTGCTTGTTTCATGCAAGAAAAGTACTTTGTTTGAAAGAAAGACATCGTGGTGATTCGCATATCATTAGTTTTATTTGAACCACCTGCCTGCGAGATCATCTGTGTTACATAGCATCTGCAATGCCCACCCTTCTTGACAGCAGATAGCACAGTGGAGCAATGCCTAGAAAAAATGTCATTCTTGTTGCTAAATGTGTTTCACAGATCATAATGAAACTCATACATTGCATTTTATTCTGTCTCCTAAAGCACTTCAAATTCTCTTTTGTAAAAATCATGAGTAGTTTGAGTACTAGTGATGGATTGTGCAGTGCACATTCTTTGTCGTCTAACTCTCTTCCGGAACGTCAACTTGAAAGACTGGGTGCTGAAATTGATAGATGCACCTTCACTTCATGCATTAACTAGAGGAAAAAAATGTCATTAATTTAATGCGTATTTCACAAACTGCAGTGGTGTAAACTAGAAGAGGTGGTGTTTAGTGACATTTCATGCACTTGTAACAGGCCTACCGACAATGCCAGCCAGACTTTGCTTGTGTCTCACTATGGTTTCCAAAACTATTACGAATAACACTGGTAGTGCACAATGATCCATGCAGGAGTAAAGCCCCTAAATGGTAACCCAGCACCTCAGCGGAATGGGGGGAGTGAGATGTAAAGAAACATGTGCACCCTGCATGCACTGCTGCACACTGATAATCCTCCAAAAATACAATCGGGTGCTACCAAAATACATGACATAAACTGTTTATCATACCAGGTAAAATTTCAATGTTTTCTTCAGTTTCTCTTTAATTTTGTTCAGCAATCCTTTAGCTTCTTCACTTCTAAAGCCCTTCTGTGCATAGTGTTGAGATTTTACAGGTTCTAAGCATTGTCCTTTCGCTCTGACATGAAATGTCATTTGCCTTTAGTATTCCTAAAGGACACTAAGTTATTCTGCAACCTTTCTCAAACATGGTCATAAATTGCTATCGATTGACAGTTGAGGCACACGTGAGCTAAACATTAAAGTGCAACATTTGATCGGGCTAGATTGTGTCCAATCAACCTTGTTTTAAGTTAGCGCTATGTCTTTCTTTTACTGGCCCTCTCTCTTTTGTATTGTTTTAATTTCAAGTATGGGTCCCTTCACGCCAACTGTCCCAACCATGGCGCTCGCGAAAAATCAGTTGCTATCAAATAGATTCAGAAAATTACATAAATATAAACATTAGTTCTAAAGTATTTTCCCAAAATATTTTGAGTGGCAAAAAAAAAAGGCGTCCGCGACCACCATTTGGAATTGACAAAACGGTGGAAAACCAGGCATGAAAAAAATTCGCTATAAATCGACCATGTCGTCCATTCTTTCAACACTTGCTTCTTGTGTTTTTAGAGCGACGTGCCTGTATTATAAGACAGTTGGCCGTGATAGCTTCAAAATTTCCACTCTTTAGACCATACACAAAACTCAGCAAATAGTAGTGTTTGAGAATTTTTTTATGAAATACAACTATCAATAGAATGCACAAATTACTTCTGTCAAACTCCGTATAAAAGTTACTTTTTACAAATATTTTTGTTTTGCAGGTGTGTGGCACATAGACTTTAAAATAAAATTCTGAACTTGGAAAAAGCGACACTTTGGTCCAAGTTCAGACGTCTGTAGCACTTTAAGGTGGTCCAAGAAAAAATCAGGAGGAAGCCGCATACGATTGACTTTGTTCACAAAAAGTTTAATCAAAGTCATTTTTGTTTTAGTGGCAAAAAACATTTCTTAAGTTTAGTTCCACCATTGCATTGCTTTGCTATGGATGCAATGTCAGCCAACTGAATTCACTGCATAAAAAGAGTGGTAGTGCACCTACAACACATGGTTGAAAGTTGTGCTTGTTGGTACTCTATTTTCTATACCACATATCGAGGTGATAATAAATAGAGGTAAAGCATTGTGCTCTGCACAACAACGGTACAGTGAGTTTTTTTCACCACCAAAAATATTGTTGCATAATGAGGGATGCCACTTTAACACGATTCACACATTTTGTTCACGTGGCGAAAAATCCATGCATGGCATTAAGTTCAGGCATAGTGTGAGCACCAGTGTTGTGGAATGGGTACCTCCACATAAGCATCATGCCAGCGTCGGTATGTATCACAAATTGAAGAAGCGCTTTTTCAAATATGCAAATGAGTTGCCGATAACGACAGAAGCAAAAACTAAAAACTGAAGGATGGGAGACAGCAGATGGCTGTGGGGTGCTGCCAAGGAAAAAAAAATCATAAGGGGGAGGGGTGTATGTCGCCGCCATAGTTTTACACGACAGATACCAACCGTTAGCATAGAGCAGTGGTTATGCAAAGATAGAGACAAACTTGGGGCCAACACATTCTATATAAGGACATAATTGTGCTTAAATTAAAGCATTAAATGTGCCATCCTTGTAATCGGCTCAGCCTTTTGTGAAATACTGCTTTTTTTAAATTCGAGGTTTCGACTTGGCAATGTTTGGAGTTTGAAAAACAGTGCATAGATGAAAACATGCTCTATTTTCGGAAAGATACGTAATGTCATTTCCATTCCATTTCGCACAAAAGGCGCTTAAGAGAGAGAGAGCAACATTATTGAGGTCTGTTACCGACGTAGGAGAGAATGTTCCTCGTGCCCATCCGGCTATTCCCAGGTGGGTGCGGACAGGCCTAGCCTGTGGGCCCTGTCGTGGGTGTATCGGGTGGCCGGAATTTGGTCTTGAGACTTTGGGCTGTGCAGAATGGCTTCCCATCTGGGCTTGCTGTACGTTGGGCCTACCGACCCTTACTCCAAGTGCTTATGAGCTATAGTAGCGACCTCCTGACTGCATGCGATGCAGGAAACGTAAGGGTGCTTAAGCGGGTAGATTTCAGTCAGGTATGCGAGTGACGAATATGAGTGTGTTTGCGATAATCGTAGTGAGACAGCCTGAGCTCTATTGAGTTCGGGTGAGGAGGCGGAAACTCTCTTCTGGACATATTTGGTGACCTCGTAGTATGTGCTTGGAGAATTTTATGTGCCCCGCCCAAGCCGGTTATTGAGTTGTCACACGTAAAGTGAACGGCGTGGCAAGTTAACGTGCACGCCGCTTCACGGGCCAATTGGTTGGGGTTGGGGGCGATTCCCTGGATCGAGCCAACGTGCATGGGCAACCAGTAAATAGTGCATGTATGAAACAAGCTTTTCTCACGAAGAATGCGGGCTGCTTGCTTAGCGATGCGAGCTCTTTGAAAGGCGCTTAATTCCGTTCCTATTTCATTCTTCCTAGCGTTGTCCCCACTCCATTCCAGGGCCGCCATAATGTGGAGTCATTCCAATTTTGAAGTAATGACTCAGCAACACCGTTGAGCACTATGCATTAGTCGAAATGCGATGCGACTGAACTAAAAGGAATATGTGTGTGGCTTCTGTCTTTTGTGTATCCAATGCATGTTGCTCAATTGATGATCAAACTCACAGAATTTGGCATTGTTCGTGCAAATTGTCGTTTACAAGCAGCTCGGTGCATCATGTCAGATTGGCACAAGTGTGAATTCTAATGTTCCAGCTGCAATAATGTGGAAAAAATTACTATATTGTTGACAATGTTGGTCCTTGCTAACCGCAAAGTTTTGTCGAAGTCTGAAACCTCTCCAACTTCCCTTCAATTAGGCATGCAAATGATCCTTGAGACTTGCTTTACCGGCTCAATGCATTGCTACAATATTGTCAAAACTGTTTTCAGCGTCTCTTTAGCAAAAAGGTGTTCAACTTAACAGTCCTGTTCACCCTTTTCTACACTACAGAAGAGCAGTATAAATGAAAAAGGAAAGCCACTTGCATTGGTTAATGACACTGGTGATGAAGTCCCATTGGTCATTATTGGCACCTTGGGCTGGAACTGGCCATGGCTGTATAGCAACCCAGATCCTGGTCTCTCATATAGCCACTGCCCAAAGCGCACCAGGTACAGAAGGCGTAGCTGCACATAGGGGCATGACACACCATAAAAGGCTCACAAAATGAGCGCTGCTTATTTCAATCCACAATTACCTGCTGCACAATGGCAGTACACACAGAATTCACATTTAGCTTTTCCTCCAAGAATTTAACTTCTTAAAACAGAGCGCACAAGGGACAGAAATAGCCCCGTACTTTGAGCGCCATTTTATGAACGATGAATAACCAACACGCCCGAACCTTCTCCCTTTTAATTTCACTTACCAAGAGGCATTGCATAAACCATACAAAAAAAAAGTGCTTTGTATTATGTAGTACTTACATGGCAAACACTTTTTTTTCACACCTTATAATCAGCAATAACACTACTCCAGGCATAGCTGAATACAAGTTTGCTGCCCTGCATTCAGTTACAAGAAAGTCAGTTAGAAAGTCAGCGGCAGCCTAGCTAGGTTGTTACTCTTCTTAGGAATTGTGCGTTGATAATATCCTTCACTATACTATTTGTGAAGGTTATTGCCTTGTCACAGCCAATGAGCACCAACAATTTATAGATGCCCTATTAACAGCGCCCTTGAATGAGATAGAGACATCAAACTTATTTCCCCCACCCTCCCTATGCGTAATTCGAAGGTTGTACATTCGGTCCCCGTTAGCAACTGGTCATCTTTTTGCCCAGTTTAGATTTTTTTCACATTTATATCACAACTTCTACGAACATCTTTAATACTTTTATTGTCTGCTAGCTGTTATTCGTTACCACGGCTATTCAAATTGATCACCTGTGATCAACGTATAGGACCGTCGATTTTGGCATGTTGAATTTGTTTCTCCTACACCCAGCACTTTGTAGTAGTTAGTCCAGCTATTCAACTTTCAGAATCAGTTTGAATTTGCCTGTTTAGGCAACATAATGATTTTTGACAGACTTTTGCGCAAACAAATGTGCTTGTGTTCTTGGGAAAATGCACTTGCCTGGCGAACTTGACAGAAGTACGTGCCCCTCGTGGTTATCATACAGTAACATCAAGTTCAATAATCTAAAAAACCTTTGCAAATCAAACATCAATTTAAGCTGTCAGCTTCGCAATCTGACAGTGTTGAACAGTAATAATTGCCACAAGCTTGTGCCAGCTGCTCAACAGAGAGCTGTTGCTAGAAGTCAGGAAAAATTTATTTAACAAAATAATATTTCCGAAGGTACCCCGCATGTATGAACTGTGAGGGTGGCATTATCAGCCAGTCTCTAGCAGTTTTGGTTCGCTTGTATAGTTATATCAGACACAGGGCCACATTTAGTGTCACTAGTTGCTCCCATGGCGGCGGCGTCACGAGCGCATGGTTGCGCACCTGCCCTGCAAAAAAACACGCGCTGCTCGTAACCGTCTTGCAACTGCACGTGAATTCAGTGAGTATGAGCGTAAAGTCTTGAGGATGATAGCACCTTCTTTTCAAGTTTTAAGGCGAGGATGTTTTGTGCCAGCCTGAAACATCCGCAGCCGTTCATGAGTTTGTTTTGTTTACAACCTCAAGTTGTCTGTCCCGCTGCAAGTGCGTAGCTGCTGACCTCTGTGCACAATCTTATAGCTACCCTGGTTACGTGTGAGGTCCACACGTCGCTGGGGTGCAGTGTGCTGGCGCCAGCTGCAGAGCTTCTCACGACCAGAAGGCCACCGTAGCACATCTTGGCCCTCACTACGGAACAGCGCAAACAGTTTATAATTGCGCACAATACTGTTTTTTTTCTTTCTTATATGATGTTCAGAAATGCCAAGAAACATGCTTTGATGCATATATTGAAACGCGAACCTGTGCAGAGTGAGTGAGGTGGCTCGTGGAAAGAGGTGACGCTAGATGAAATAATGAAGCTCATTGAACATCTGATTTATAGAGGGATTGTTCACATCACAGGCATCCATCTATATTGAAATACCTGCAGGCTCTTATCGCAAAAAGCAAGAAATTTCTGAGAAAAGTGTATGTGTCACGAAAAACCAAGCAAGGCTTCACCGCATGGCATGAGTAATGAAGCAGCACCACCTTCTCGATTTTCTTTGTCTATGTGAACAGAAACATTTCATATGACATTTAATATTTCTACACTGTTCTTGGGTCATTCATATTTAAAATGTCTATTCTGAATTTTATTCGTTTTGAATATTTTTACATATATAGTGTTTTTATTGCACTGTTTGCCAGCTGGCAACAAAAAATGACACTCTTTTCAAATTTTTATTCATTCCATTATACTTTTGTTGCTCTATAACATATATTTTTTAGAAAGAGCATTTCATTGTGCAAATTTTTGTGTGCAGCAATGCATGCTGTAGTGTTTTTCAAACTGACAAAAACTATCTTCTCAAGACATATGAGAAATAAACATTTTCGCGGGGTAACAGAAGAGTTAATATTATGGACGCAAGTGGCACACACAATAAGCAACACTTCATCATCATCATCAGTCTGCAGGACAAAGGCCTCTCTCATGTTCCACGAGTCACTCGGTTCTGTGCTTGCTGCTGCCACCCGCAAGCGTCCTAATGTCATCTGCCCGCCTAACTTAGTATGCTTAGTAAGCAACACTTAGTATGCATTGACTACTAAAAAGTCTTGCAACTATTTGCCCCTACCTTCTCATAAAATGCACTGATGCACACACAAGCAATTCAGTAATGCCCCCATGAATCCTCAGGTCTCTTGCCTATGGGCAAAGCCAAGAGGAAAGGGGTGAACGCACCATACCTGGCACTCTTGTCCGTCTTGTGCCCTCAGCTCCCAGTTGATCTTGCTGTGAGCTGCAGACAATGCTGCAGTTCCCTGCAGGCAGATGTCTTCTGGTAAAGGACACATGGTTGGCGTGTCCGGTAGCGTCATCTCTGTCAGTGCTGTGTAAACGATTTCACACGTGTTTCCGTAAAGCGAATGAAGCATTGTGCAGCTAGAGCGCTCAGCTATAGTGACTCCTAAATGAAGCATTGTGCAGCTAGAGTGCTCAGCTATAGTGACTCACCGATAGGATACAATGGTCGGATGAATGGCAGCACCAAGTTGAAGAGGGAGGCCAAGTGCTGCCACAAGGGTGTTCTGGCCTAGTGACAATGAAAGTGCGAGTTACACAAGGTGAATGCTGCTTCTGATGCAGCCTCATTGTACCTTACCTGTGTGCAAGGTCCGATCAAATCAGTCCGTCCGATGAGCCAGTCACAGAACATTTTCACAGTTGGCAGCAGAGTTACACGTGCCAGGTCGGTAAAGAGTAGATTGTCATCACTGCAGCAAAATAAAATGAGGACTTAACAGCTTACTACAACATGTGAGCTCACTCCTTGTAACTAGTAATACAGCACTTCATTTGTGCCACCATGAAAATTAAGGCAGAAAACTGCACACGCTGAGGAAGAGCACCTTGCTATAGAGCAAAACTTCAACAAGATAAGGCAAAAACAAGTTTGTCATCCATACATGAATCTCATGTGACGTGGTCATACTCACAGCAAAGGGCTCAGTACATTCCATAACAAGGCTAGCCATGCTCAAAACCAGATTGTCAATAACTAAATATTAATAATGAATATCTAATCATCAGAAATTACTAACAAGAATAATAATGATTAACTTAAAATCTATATAAAATCTAGGCTTGTGCAAATAGTGTATTTTATGTTCAAAGCTAATAGTGATTTCGAACTCCCATTTGATTGAAGGCGTGTTCACCAGCACATGATTAACGTTGTAACTTCCCTCATCATAGATTTGACTAAAGGTTTACTTGAATTTCTCTCAATGTATGTTTGAACACTCAACCATAAACTTGCGCTCGGGGGGGGGGGGGGGGGGGGGGGGGGCAGGTCGGGAAGTGGGGGGGGGGGGGGAGAATATGGCCCTCTAGTCACCTAAAGGGGCTCTTGCAAAATCTGCCCTATACATCCATTTCCTATACATCCATTTAGACGGACGGGAGGGAAGGCATTGCGATGAACCTTGGTCTCCCCTTGACAGGGAACCCTGCGGGTGCCCAATGTGCTCAACAACTAGGTCGTCGGGAATGACAAATGTGCATTGGCGAATGTGATGATCATTAAAATAAATATTTGCTAGAAAATTGAAAACAAGCGGCTCAGAGAAAAAAAGATGCCCAAATTTGCCTATTATAAGTGAAAATGGCTACTCTGGTGCGAACTAATATTGTATACACTCGTGTAAAGGCCACACTTTTTTCCCAATATTTTGATGGGGTCCAGCCTTTCATGAAAGTGACATTTTTTTCACTTTTTGATTCAGGCATACGGCTTGGAAGGTATTTTAAATTAATTTTGAAGTTTGTGTGAGCCCTCGACTCCATCATGTCATTGACACCCTCGAAGGGGCCCTTCTAGTATGCTCTCATTACAATGCTGCAGTCAATGAAACAAGTTATGATGACGTCACAGCCGCCATTTTTCTTTTGCCGCATTTGTTCCCGCAGTCTGTCTATACTTCTCGGCGGCTGGTTGCGAGTGCGTGGCTGTGGCGCACGCTTTGAAAGTTTAGTGTTTAGCGACACTGCAGTCCCGTTTCATATTTGAAAGTAATTCTTGATGCAGACTGTAGGGATGTGTGTCACAGTTCTCTGTGCTGACATGGACAAAAGCTGCACTTGTTGGTGGCAATAGTGGTTTCTTGTTTTTGGAGCTCTCCCAAACCGAAACTGAGACTGGTCGATAATGAGGGGCCTGTAATTATCTGTCGCGTGTTGCAGCAAATGATGTATTCTGCCATGACTAACAGGCCCCCAGCAACACAGTGCCGTACGCAAGACAAGACGATGTTACTGCTTGCTAGTGAGATTATATATATATATATATATATATATATATATATATATATATATATATATATTTCTTCAAAATACAGACTGCCAAGTTGGGGGAGGGAGCGGCCCTTACACGAGCACAGACCTTAGTCAATTGTATGTGGTATACGCATGGACCGGTGCTTTCATGGCTAGCACCCGCCACTGCAGTGAAACCACCTCTACAAGGTGTGTCTGCTACATGGAGGACCGGGCGTTGTCTGTTTCTCTGCGTTACAATGACGCAGTCTGACAACTGAACCTCACGGCTAAGCCACCTGTATGCGTCTTTGCTGGTCGTGGGCAGCGCAGGTCTTTCCATCCAGGAACGCCGTCCACGTTTCCTCAATCATGGACTTCACAACCCGACCGCTGCTGCAGCTACCCATCGAATCATCCGCAGACGACTTCGAGGCCTCATCAATAGTTCCAGGGTATTACCTGACAGAAACCTTCCTAACACCTTCATGTGAGAAGGTGCAAGAGGTCTTGTCATATGGAAACATCACGTACGCTCCCTGTGGCACGGATCTCATGCCCAAGTCTTTTCCTATGAATGAGCATCCAAGGCACGCCGTTTAGGCTTCCTTGGCATACCGCGGCGCCGCCAAGATAGCAAGTACCCCAGCTACAGTAAAATGCCCCCAAAAGAACTAAATTTGTTCGAACTTCGAGCGCGCTCCATGAGCGTTGCAACAGGCAGAGTGCCGCCACCTTGAGCTAGATTTTAAGCTATTCACTTTGTGTGCATAGAGTTTCTCACAAAAATACCTAGAAGAAAGTGTGGCACCACAGTCTATGAGAATTTCTTAAAGGGGCCTTGCAACACTTTTTGAGCATAGTCGAAAAACACTGCCGATCGGTAGTAGAGGAAGGAAGAAAAATAGGAGGAAAAGAACGGCAGGGAGGTTAACCAGCCTATAGGCAGCCGATTGGCTACCCTGCGCATGGGAGGGGGATGGAGGAGATGAAAGAAAGCAGAGAGGGAAGAGAGATAAACACAGCACATTCGGCAGCACACGCGCGCACACTGACGCACACTCAGTCATTGTTCAGTCTTGTCTTTCGCGCTGTGTGACACTGCTGTTACAGCCGCTTGTTCAAGCCCGTGTCGCGTAGAGGCTACCAACAACGCGCAAGCCAAGTATTATAGCACAGTTCACGGCCTGGAATTCACAATAAATTATCAGAGTCAGCTAAGGATTGTTTTCTTTTCTCTCAACAAATGACAGAAGACCCTCAAAAATCACACGTAGCAGGCCCATCTATCAGATTGATTGATATGTGGGGTTTAACGTCCCAGGCCCATCTATCAGCCATTGGCTGATTTGAGCATGGTGCACTCAGTCGTTACAGAGATCGCCGCAGGAGGCCGCGACTTGTCGACGCGTGCGTGCGCGGTTGTGCTAGTGACGTAGCACAAAAAAGTTGTGCTAGTGACGTAGTTTCTTTTCCCCTGCCATCCCTCCCTGCTTAGCTTCCAGCGCTTTCGTCGGGATGAGAGAAGAGAGAATGCAATTGCAGCGTGCGACAAATCTTGGTAACTCCACTCGCACAGGACGGATTCTTAAAAATTTTGTGGCGTTGAATTCGTGACGCAATAAGCTTTTCCAGTAAATTCATTCCACGGTTATGTACTTGAAGAAGTGATTCAGGGCCCCTTGAAGTGCCACAGCCTACTTAAAAATCGCGAGGAAATTCAAATGCTCGCACTGCGCCATTGCTAGAAATTAAGTCAGTTTTTTGTTACGTTAGGAATTACATGGATACTTGATGGGTTTTCCCCGTCGCTGCCATGCTCTGCGTAAACTACAAGGTGGTAACATTCCCCGCGCGTCTTACATTCTACCCTCGCGTAAAACTGCGCAAGGTGGGGTGAAGAGCGTTGCTCAAGCAGTGATTAAATGAGGCGGCCGATCTTCGTTGCTCAGAGGGCGAACGCGATAGCATCCCACCAAGTGTTAGAGGTGACGTCAAATGCTCACTCAGCAGAGAGGAAACACGCCGCCAGTCTTGACTGAGCATGAATAGACGTGGGGGAAAGGGGGGGCGCTTGAGCAGCAGCGGTGAACTTTGATTCTAAGGGCACGGTTGCGATAGCTGGCATGCACGCTATTAGCAAGCATCAGCGCACGGCTTGTAAACCATTTTACGTGGTGCGCACTCCATGGGATGAGATTGTGTGATAAGAGCATATCTCCCTGAAACAGCCGTACTTATTTTCTTAAACCAGCGTTTTGTAAGGTATCGCTATGTCAGATCCAAAATAGTTATCTTTCAGCCTTCGTACGTGATGCTGATGAAGGCAGCAGCCGCTGTTTTCATGAGTGAACTTCTTATTTGGACAAAACCTGTGCTTGGAAAATGACACATAGATCATTCTACAAGCAATACACACTGTAGACTGACAGCAGCAAACAGACCGTCAGCATTTTTAAATGTGCCATCGTAGATTCCAGCGTTATCTCTAGCGGCCGTGTGATTTAATCGGAAGGTTTTAAGATTATCTGGACAGTTCCCAGTCATTCGGGTGCGGTTGGCGCAATGCAGCTTTAGACACGTAATGATGTGGTAGCAAAAATAGAAAGGAGCACGTGTGGCATTACTATTACATTACAAATTGTTGCTATTGCAGTCATTGCTTTGCCATTTAAACTGATATATACATATATATATTTTTATGTATGTGATTCGATGGTCTCCATCGCAGAGCTCATGCAGTACTTGGCGGACGTTCGGCAATGGTGTGACAAGTTTTTCGCAACACTACCGTCTTTATATATTGTCACAAAGACACAGGCACGCAGGTACAAAATAGGGCGTTTACTTTCGAAACCCAAGGGCCAGAAACGCGAACACCAGAGCACGCGCACACAGATCTACTTCGTTGTCCTCTTCAGATGCTGGCTACTATAGTTGCCAGCCTACCTTGCGTCAATTCCCCCCTGTCAAGAGAGACCGTCCCGGTCGATTGATTGAGATGCTAGAGGTGGCCATGAAAGAAAAAAAAATGATCACGTCAATGAAAAAAAAAAAAAAAAAACCCATGCTGTTGTGGATAATAAGGAAAAAGTTCAAAGTGTTCATAAGTCGCGGGCATGGTACGGTTTCATCCGTACTACATGGACTACTTCTGGACGTGGACGTCTTCGGTTTAAACTGGTGTCGGAGCTTTGGGGAACTACCTCGTAATTCACGTCACTGAGGCAGCGCACAACTTCGTAAGGGCCAAAGTAGCGCCGCAATAGCTTCTCCGAAAGCCCACGATGTCGAACTGGTGTCCACACCCATACATAGTCACCTGGTTGATAGTGGACGCTCCTTCGGCCTTGGTTGTAACGGCGAGCGTCGATATCTTGCTGCGCGCGAATGCGGTTCCGTGCAAGCTGGCGGGCTCCCTCGGCTTTCTCAACGAAGTCGTCAACGCTGTCATTTCCGC